CATACAAACTCTTATGAACTCACCAACTTAATTTTTTACACTTTTTCAAACCACTTGTATTCTCAGGAAATCACTAAAACATGTAACTAAAAGCTTTTGAGGATAGGACGCTAAGGCGTCAGACAAATCTTTTTTTATCATCATATTGTAATTGATTTTGAAACATGTAACTCTTACAACAATGTAACTTTTTTAATTATATTCATGATGGTTGTGTTAGCTTTCGTCACTATTATGCATTATGTTATGATACAATACATGAAAGTCATCCACCCCCAGACGTTTTCCACCATCTTTTTTTGGGGTGTGACAGACCCAGATAGCCATATTGACATGTATGAGTCTACGATAACCTCCCTAAAGCTCAACGAACGGTTCAGGTGCATGTACCTCCCAACAACGCTAGATGGTAACGCAGCAATGTGGCTTAAGACTCTTTGTCCAGGAAGCATTTACAATTTTGGCCAACTGAAGTAACTATTCCTGACAAACTTCATGCAACTATCGAAGTACAAAGGAGATTCCCACTTCATTATTGGTTGTAAAAAGAAGGAGGGAGAGATGGTGAGAGAATATTTCGTAAGATTCACCAACACTACCTTAGACTTTCCAGGACACGACGAAGTGCTAATAGTTGGAGCTTTCACGTGGGGCCTCCTTCCCAGGACACTGTCCCAGAAGATCATGGGAAAGAAACCCCAGACGCGAGTCGAAATAAAAGAGAAGGTAGAATGTTACCTAAGAAAAGATGAAGGAGAGGTTGCAAAACAAGCGCACCTCAATGCCATGATCGTCCCGACCACGAAACACTACCACCAGTCCACCCACGACCAAGAGAGCCAGGGTGGAAACAGACACTTTGGGCGACCAATGCATCCTCAAGGCCGTTTCAGACCATTCCCACGGGATGAAAGAAGAAAGCGACGAGACTTCTACATCATCGCCAATAGGCAAGCGGGAAAGGGGGTGAAGAAACGCTATTGCAAATACCATAAAAGCAACGCCTTGTAGGGTGGAGAGGGGATAACCCGCTGATAATCCAAGGATCCATAAGAAATACCATCATTCATCATGTGTATGTCGACACTTACAACTCAGTGGACATCATCTATGAACATTGTTTCCGCCTCCTTCCAGACAGATGGAAGGAGGGTCTTAAGCTTGCAGCGGGGCAGCTAAAAGGATTTACGGGGCACAACCTATGGCCCCTAGGCACGATACATGTGACATCCCCATTTTCACAGCCAGAAAAGACCAGTTTATGCTTATTTTAAAATCAGAGCTTTAATTCACAAATACGGAATTTGTCCCATAAAATATTCCCAAAGGGATGTTTTTCATTGGTTTATTAAAAACTCGGGATGTCATAACTGATACAAGAAACATAAGTATAAACGAAGACTTACAATATCTTAATATAGTCTAAAGTTCCTCAAATCTCTTAGGTATCATCATTTTTGTTTCTTGTGATACAAAGATACTGAGTGGGTCAGATTGGGAAACCTGGTGAGATAAATAGAGTTTTCAACCCACAATATTAAAATTTTTAATTATATAACCATCAACATTCAAATAAACCAATTACCCCATTTCCATCACTCTTAGTTACTAATCCTATTATGATGATCTTGAGGGATATTTCCTAAAGGATCTTTATCAACGGACAACTATAAATCCTAGGTGATTTAGGCATGACGGTATGACAATACTCGCGACAACACGGTAGTACATTAGTACTTTTTGTATAATCACGGCTGGCACGGTGTACAAAGTACTTGGGTTTAGCATGACAGTATAAAAGTACTTGGGTTTAGTACGGCAGTACAAAAGTACTTGGGCTTAGCATCACAGCACAAAAGTACATGGGTTTAGTATGGAAATACAAAGTACTTGAGAAAGACACAGCAGACACGACTTATTATCTCACACGGCTCTCTCTCTAACCTATCGTAAACATTATTTCATAAAACCCTATCACAACCTCTCAGTTATTATTTTGCACAGCCCCTTACTACCTATTCATACTATTAAGTTTGTTAAACATACCAATAAATCAAGTGGTAATCATATTTGTACAACTACACTAAACACAACAAAGATAACACACATAGCAGTTGAGCATTTAGAATACTTATATATATGCGTAAGTTTAAAAGTAACTATGTACTCACTTGTTAAAGTGCTTACTCGAAATTCAGGAAGAGCATCACTTCTAGCAATTGACCTTTCCTTTGTCGTGACCTAGTTTCATTATCACTAAGTCTTAGTCTAATATTCTACGCGACTAGAGAGAATCTAGACCTATCAATCATTCTAATGAATAATAATAGTTCTATCAAATATGGATCAGCCAGGCAGGACAGTCGGGAGGTAGGACCATTTCGACATTTAGTCTCTCTGAAATCCAACAACCAAGCTAACGTGACCATTCTAGACACCTCTCTTGTAAGTTTATCAATCAGGATATGACTTGGAATCACTGATAAATATTAGATATAGGGTCATAACAATGAATATGACTATAATAATAATTAATTACGTGAGGGAAGAGTAAGTGTAGATCACTTATAGATTATGGATTAGAACCAGGGTCCAAGTGTGTAGAAATCTAACTCAGGCTCTCCTACTCGAAGGCTACTAATCGAACCCGTACTCCGGGGTGTCGCAGGGCTTCGCCTCAGGCTTGAAACGAAAGAAAAAATAGGTTTACAGGAGGGATAATCAAGAGAGAGTGGTTGTAAGAGTGTGTGGGATGAATGAGGGACTATTGGCTATTTATAGGGACAAAAACTCATATGCATGCCACGCCTAAGGGGGTGTGCGATGCGCACTTCAAACACGTCGATCCATCGGTTAGCTCACACGTGTCACTCGTTAGCTGGAGCAGCGTGGTTGACTTCGCACGCAAGGTACGCCCGTCGTGTTGCGCGTGCCGACTTTCAGAATTTAGGAATTACGTATCCCCTTCATACGAGCTCCGTTTTTTACGTTCTTTATATCCACGGAAAGCTCTCAACGAGATCAGCAACTTTCTTTTAGACTCTGTCGGCTAGTTTTGACTTCATTTTATTTACACAGGTTAACCTATTAAACTCCGTATAAAATGCATATCTCTCACATCCGGCGTCCTCTTTTATGGTTTTATATTGTTGGAATCCTATTAGCGAGGCCTTTAAATCTTGTTTGGATTGTTTTGGCCAAAAATCAATTGATCTAAAACTCGATTTCCCTGCGCACACTGTTACACTGAAATCTTAGAAAAATTATAAGTTCCTCTATTGAAGTCAGATTTGGACGTTCCCTATATGCACAAATTCGCTTTTTCCTAATACTACGACTTTCTTTTATATCACTAGGGCTAACAAGTAACCTATCTCCAACTCACTATTTATGACATATACTATAACTCTGTTAAGATTATTTATCCTAAACAATTTTTTATTTAAAAGTCATTATTATGGCTTATAATAACTTTATTTCCTAGCCCGAATTTACGGGTGTTACAATTATATCCCCTTAGGATTATTACATCCCGAAATCATCAACAAAATAGGCTTGTATGCTGACTCTACACGTTACCCTTTCCATCCTAGGTGGTAATTGTAACTCCCATGTCCTCCAATTGCTAGACTCTCGTCTCTAAGAGTCCAATGCCTACTCCTGAAGGTACCTTGCTTCATGTTCTAATATGGTACTACCACATCTTATTAGGTAGCTTTCCTAGCGACCAGCTACTTAATCTTGACGACTGCGATCTGTCTATCGATCACATCGATCCTTTACTACTTCAATCTTTTACTAAAGTCAGATACTTTATTGAAATTTCCTCGTAGATTAGTTGGACTTGACTTGATATGACCACTAGGGTTGGAATATGAATCATCACCGAAGCAAAGGTAATGATGTAAATGAACAAAACAGCTCAACTACCAGATTTTAGAAACCTTGTGACTTTCCTTGATTCAAGTGTGAGTCTTGTGCTTCCGGTAGTATAGGCATCTACTACCTTTCACACCTACTCATACTCGTCCCAAGTATTGTCTCGCAGTTCACTAAGTTATTGTAAAAGAAAACCACACAAAAACTCAACGTATAACATAAATTAGGAAATTATATTGCTACTTAAATAATATTCATGCCTATTACATTGGGCTATTCGATCTTATAATATCTAAGATAAGACTTTCTCCCTTTGCCTTCCTCAAGCGTCATCGGCTTCACCTTTTTCTGCATCCAAGATCATATGATATGTCATTGTCTTTGGCTTAGGCAGGAAATTTGAATCTTCTTTCTTCTTTGGACAGTCCTTCATGACATGCCCTTCTTCCTTACATTCGAAGCACACTCTTCCTTCATATCGGCACTCATTAGAATAGTGACCAGGTCTTCCACACCTGTAATAGGTCAATTCTCTCTTGCATTGCCCAACATGCTTCCTCTTGCATTTATTGCACCATTCGGCTTCATCACTACCCCTAGACTTCTTGTTTCTCTTCTTGTTTCTGGGGTCAGACCTTGAGATTTTATTTTTCTTATCGGACTTTGAGAGTCCTTCTCCTTTCATTTTCTCACCAACTTCAGTCTTGTCGGCAGTTCTCTGCTTTATTATATCCTCCACACACTTTGCCACCCATACTGCTGCTTCGAAGGTAAGTGCCTGCTTAACGGACACGGTATACTCCCAAGGTAGCCCTTTGGCATACCTATCAATCTTGGTTAGTTCGTCCGGAACAATGCACAGAGCGAACTACATCTTGTCAGTGAAGGTATTGGTGTATTCCTCCACAATCAAACTCCCCTTCTACAAGTTCAAGAACTGGTTCTCCAGTTCCAGTATGTTCTGAGCAGAACAATACTTCTGCTTGAAAGGCATAATAGGAAGGGTTCCAAACTAGAACTGGCCATGAGTATAATAACATGTAAAAAAATAAAATAACTTACTATATTAAAACTAACATGGCCAATCTTTCAAGATAATGAGCTTAGTTGTAATTCATGGGTTATGTACCTGCAGTAACAGCTGCAGCACCAGCCAAGATTGCAGAAGCTGGTGATGCCATGTCAAATCCAGTAACCCTTTTGCCGCTAAAAAAGGATTTAATTTAAATGACATTAATAGAAACTTCAATACATGCTCATAGACATTAACAGAAATACACATAATAGATATGAGAAACTCTAGAGACATCAATGTTATCACTACATCAAGACTATATGTGCAGTTAAACACCCTGTATGTGAGTTCATGTTTTCTTTTTCCCATTAAATGTTCGGTTGTTTGGATAAATGATGTTAAAAAATATAAAAAGTTAGGAGGACTTAACAAACTAACTGAATCTCCATCATTTTCTTTGTATTATGGAATTAGTCATCTTAACAAGCTGGAGGATAACATTTGGGGACACCGGATAACAAGGTAGAAGCAAGGAAAATCCAATAGTACACATTCTAAACCTTTACATATCATCTCACTGCTTTTAGTCGCGCAATAAATAGCAAGCTACTTTCATTTATTAGTGTGTTATAGCATCCTACTTTGAAGTTTGAGCTTTATTTTACTTTAAAAAATCATTATTATGTTTATCATATCTAAATGAAATATGCATATCCAAGGATGTATTTTTATAGAGAGGTCCACCTATGACAACTTGAGAAAATAAGGCTTTTATGGAAGTAGGAAAGATATTTATGTAGAAAGATATTTATGTAGCCATTAACAGGATTTGTGAGTTCACGGGTGAGAATATTTTTCAAATTCATGGTCAAGTATATTGATCTAATTTTAAACTTTTGTCTTCCTTATCCAAAGTGTCTGGATGGAGAAAATAATAACAATCTGAGACTTTTTTAAAATGCATAAAGAATTACTAATGAAGTGAGAAAATGTGTGTAGTTTAATCTATCGATTCATGTAAAAGTAAAGAGCAAAACGTTTAATTTCATCTTATGTTTATCTCGTACAACATTAAACATTAACAAAACACTTGCAAACTGTCCAAAAATTGTTGGGCTAATTTTGGTTAAAAGTTTATCTTTCATCGGTCTAATTTGTAATAACTGCTCAATAAAAACTAAATCAAAATTGCATTTGATACATTGATGCTAATCAATTGTCCATTTTTAGTGTTGCTTTGTGGTTCTCGGTAATTTTCATTGTAAACTAACAAAAAAATCTTAAGATTATAAGTTAAAACTAAATCATAGCCGCATTTGAAACAATACATAGTTGAATGAGAACCTGTGACGTTCAACGGCTTGTTGTCAGAGATTTTCGGTGAGGCTCGGCTCTGAGGAGCTTGTGAACGTGGATCAAATTAAGGAATCAGAGACAAAATCATAATCACATGTGGTGGGACTCTTGGAGGAGCTTGTGAACGCGGATCAAATTAAGGAATCAGAGACAAAATCATAATCGCATGTGGTGGGACTCTTGGATGTGAGGAGCTTGAAGGCGATCAAATTAGGGCATGGTTTGATCGATTCAAGGTTGTGAGAAGAAGGATTAAAAATCATTATTAAACATGTTTCCTTCAATGCATACTTAAAATATTTAAAATATATTTTTAATGGCAAAAATCAGGGTTAATATTTCTTTTAATGAGACAAAAAAATAATTTAAGTATTTCAATAAAACTTTAATGGTATTTAATATTTGTATGACATAAAAATGTGTCACTAAATGTCATTTAGTTTGTAACTGTAGATCATTCCATATATATTAAAAAACACATAACTATAAATTTTACATTAATCCACATATATCAAAAAGAAAAATATAATATAATATCAAAACAAAATATAGTTTTAGATGAATCCAAACGTATCAAAAAACTTCATAACATTACCATGTGTTTTTATTCAGAGAAATCTAGATAGATGTGAAAAAGATCACCTAAGATTATTATGCAAAATGCTTAATTTTATGTGCTTTAATCAATTTAACTGGTTCAACAAGGTTTTTGTAAAATCAGACGGTTTGTTTCGATTTAAAAATAGACATAAAACAGATACTAGTTGAATCTCTCTCATCTCCGGTTATCGGTCAAACCGGTTCGACCGGCCGTTTCAAACCGGTTTTTAAAACAGCTAGGCAGAAAAAATTTAACCAAGCACCGTCTTAGAAAAGCTAACTTTTCCTTGATATCAAGCCTGATTGTTATCTCTAGGGCCCGGGAATCGGGAGAAACCAGACTCTCAGCAATGGTATATGCTTGAGCCCATTCATTGAAGTTCTGAATCTCTGAAAATGAACAATTCTCGGAATCATATACAACCAACTCCGACCCATGTTGCAGCAAAACTTTCCCATCATTTGAAATACACAAAGGCACTGAAAATCCGAAGCACTCACGATCAATAGGATATGGGATAGAAACCAATTTAGTCCAAGAATCTTTCACCCCATAAACCTTCATCACCCATACATCCGCACAATTTCTACCATAATGATCACAAAGCACACACAACCATTCTCTCAAAGCCCCCAATTTCAAATCCATATCACCTTCATCACACGCAGGTTGCAAAATTTCTCCATACGTCTCCTTTGCTAAATCAAGAGAAACTATAGTCCACGAATAAGATGACCCAGAATCTTGAATACTCGTCCAATGAAGAACTCCATTCAAATACTTGACACAACAATCCATAGAAAAACCATTATGAAAATCACCAATTCTCTTCCAATTTCCAGTTTTCAATGAATATATCTTCACTATTGCATTATACACGGCTTCACCCTTATAAACATAATATATTGCAACAACTTTGTAATCATCAGAAGACTCATCGTACCCAAATTCATACTTACGAGGTCGCCCTCTAGAACCAGAACACGGTAACCTGTTTGATCTTCGGGTACTAGGGTTCCAAATAAACAGATCATCGACCTTGTTAGCTATTAAAAACAATCCATTGCAACAACCGAAGATCCGCACATAGTCAAAAGACTCTTTCAATGGATAATCAATCTCTAAGGCGTTCACGATTCCATCATAAAGCACATCATAAAGAGGACAACTATGAACACTTATTGACTTGGTACTGAAAATTAAGTGACGATGCGCATATCGATTGTTGCTGGTTGAAAAACTGAGATGGAATTTGACAAAATGAGGATCGGATATTATAGAGCACCATAACTTACACACAGACCTGATCCGTAAGAGCGATTTAACGGGAAGCCTCGACAGAATTTCGATAATGATATCAGGAGGTACCGATTGAGGATCTTTAGATGTTCCGGAAGAGTGCAACGTCTTGATTCTCTTTGGTTGTTGTCGGTGCTGCTCGTCGTCTTTGTCATGGAGTGTCATTGTCATCTTTGTCATCTTTGTTCGCCGAATAGGAGATTTTATATTCTCGACAGAGATATTTTGGGAACATATTACGTTTCACGTGGATATATTTTAGTATGAGCTTTAAATTTATGATTGAACATATCGTATCTATACTTTTTTTTTTCCTTTTTTTTATTGGTAAGGTACTTAAAGTTTCCTAACTTGACAAGCATTTTTATTTATTAAAACAAAACAAGATATCGAATAATTATTAATATAAAGATTTATATCTATTTAAGACCCTTTCAATTATTTCTTACCATGGTTTTGAAAACCGGACCGAAGACTACATTTTTACCATAACCATCTGTTCCGATCAAGCGGATTGGTCTCAAAAACCGAAACAACCAGATGATTTCATAATTATATTATTATTAATATCAATTATATAAAGAATACAAAAAATGAATATATATATATATATATATATATATATATATATATATATATATATATGGAAAAGTTCAATACAGAACCATAATTATTGGTTATTCAAGGAACCAAATCTTTTTTTCAATTTCTAGAGCTTATTCTTTATCGAAAAAAAAATATAAAAATATCTAAATTCATATATTAACATGGTGAATGTGAAAAATATTTTTCGGATTCACCGTGTGAATCCGGATTCACATGGTGAATTTTCAAAGATTC